AAAGTCGGAATGGATCCCAAACTACGCGAAGCTGCTCTTAGATCGGATACATGGCCGAAAGGAATTTTGTTCCGTGAATTTGAAGACGGTTCAAAAAACATGTGGTTGCCTCGTTTGAATACGCCTACCATCACGATCTCTCCTATTCCGGGACCTTCCGAGTTCTCAACTCCCATTTCCGGACTAGACCCAGTCTGCTGATTCAGAATTGGATTTTGCGTTGTGAATTGGAGCGCTGTAGACCAGAACGCACTGCCTGTCGCATTATGGGAGACCTCCAACCACTCGATCCAGTCGCGCTAGCTGTTTCCCGCCATCAAAGCCGTTCTATTTCCTGCCATCAGAGTCGTTCTGGCCCTGCGGTCGAGTTCGATGGTGAGGTCCCCGAGCATCGTCGTCAGGCAAGTATGCATACATTAGTTACAGTCATTTGCCTGATCAGTTTCCGTGTTCCAGTGCAACGCTTCATGATGTTTACAAGAATAATGCTGCTACCTTTATTGCTTCTGGACCACCACCATCACCACCGAGACGCATCGTGGATAGCACTGTGGAAGCCCCTGATTTCTCTGCCTCAGTCACGCTTATTCCAGCCAGCGCTCTGCATAGTCGTCTCGGCCCTGAGTGTAGATGTAGATCGGGGGTCTTCCAACCAGCTATTACTGGCAAGTATATTGACGATTCAGCTTCTCCTTTGCCTGATACCGCTTCAACTTCTAGCTGTGTTTCCGGTTCTGCGATCTCCACACTAGCCACATCATGTCCATGCATCCGTCCTGCCACCTACCAGCAGGTTTATGCCGCCACCTGCTCTTCCTCGGATCCGGGACACCCTAAAACAGGCACTGAGGAAGCTTCCGAACCTCCCGACCCAGTCGCGCTTGCTGCAGACATCCGCCATCGTCATCGTCCCGGTCCTGTGGTCGGTGATGGTATCGGGGGCTTCCGGCCTGCAACCTCAGGCGAGTATGTTAGTGATTCCAGACTTTCGGTACCTGATGTCCTTTCGATTTCTAGTGCCCGTGATTGCTCCTCTAATGGTCTCCGGATTTACTACCAAAACGTGCGTGGGCTGAGGACTAAAATCGACTCGTTTTTCCTGGCTGTTGCGGAGGCCGAATATGATTTGATTGTGCTGACGGAAACGTGGCTGGACGACCGAATTTACTCATCGCAACTTTTCGGGTCAGTCTATTCCGTCTTTAGAACTGACCGGTCTGCCTTAAACAGTCAAAAATCGCGCGGTGGCGGAGTCCTGATTGCAGTATCTACTAAACTAGCCAGCTACGTAAGTACGTCACCCATTTCCAGTCAACTGGAACAGCTGTGGATTGTCGTCGAACTTCCACAAAGCAAGCTTAGTGTAGGCGCAATCTACCTGCCTCCCGACCGCAAAAACGACTGCACGATCATCCGTGAGCATGTGGAATCGTTAGGGTCAATTTCGTCACAATTAAGTCCCTGCTCTCCCGCTTTCGTATTTGGTGACTACAATCAAGCTGGTCTACAGTGGCGCTTTACAAACAGTGGCACACCATTAATTGAACCACTGCTTTCGCATATGCCGGTTGCTTGCTGTGCTCTTTTGGACGGTTTTAACTTTTACGGGTTCACACAAGTGAATACTTTTCCGAACCGAAATGGACGTTTGCTAGATCTTGTCCTGGCAAATGATTCCGCACTACCGGGCACTTCTGTTTCCTTGCCCGTCGAGCCACTGATTGATCTAGATGCCGATCATCCCGCTCTCGTCGTGTCATTTAGTTTACCTGCGCCGATTCTTTTTACGCCGTCATCTGAGTGCTACTCTTTGGACTTTCGCCGGGCCGATTATGTTGCATTGAACAATGCGCTTGCGGAAATTGATTGGCAATTTATCGAAAATGCCGCTAGCGTGAATGATGCAGTGGATTTTTTCAGTGCAGCACTGGAAGATGCTATTTTCCGCATTGTCAGCTCGACGACCTCCGCTAAAGCCTGCATGGTCTAACCCACGCCTACGCGTGCTAAAACGTCAACGCTCTGCCGCCCTCCGAAAGTATTGTAACTCTCACTCGCCGTACTACAAACGACTGTTCAATTTTGCGAGTCGTAGTTATCGAAATTACAATCGTTTTCTCTATAATCGACACGTGAGACGCACGGAAGCGAACCTTCGCACGAATCCGAAAAGTTTTTGGTCGTTTGTCAACTCAAAACGGAAGGAATCCGGATTGCCTTGTTCCATGTTTCTCGGGAATGACTCGGCTAATAGTGAAAGAGAAAAATGCGACTTGTTTGCTCGTCATTTCAAGCAAGTGTTCAACGATTTCTCCGCTTCGCCAACACAAGTGCTGGATGCTGCTGTTGGGATGCCACGTGATGTGTTTAGTTTCGTTATTCCGCGCATTTCAGAAGACATGGTGATAGCCGCAACACGCAGACTGAAGCTATCGTTCGCCTCCGGACCTGACGGCATTCCGTCATCAGTTCTAAAACGTTGTGTAGCCAATCTCTGCCTTCCACTTGCGAGGCTATTCAATCTCTCGGCACAGCAATGTGAGTTCCCCTGCCGCTGGAAACTTTCTTATCTGTTCCCAGTGCACAAAAAAGGAGATAAACGGAATGTCATAAATTATCGTGGAATCACCTCCCTGTGTGCCTGCTCAAAACTGTTCGAGATTATCATAAATGGTGCTCTGTTCGCACGCTGCAAAAATTATATCGATACAGAACAACACGGTTTCTACCCGAAGCGCTCCGTGTCCACGAACCTGGTGCAGTTCACTTCTAACTGTCTGCGATGCATGGATTCAGGATGGCAAGTCGATACTGCGTATATGGATCTAAAAGCTGCATTTGACACGGTGGACCATAATATCTTGCTGGCCAAGCTGGAGATACTTGGCATCTCGTCAACTGCTGTGGATTGGTTCAGATCTTACTTGGTGAATCGCTATGTACATGTCAAGATTGGCGCGTCGGAATCGGATGTTTTCTCAAACAACTCGGGAGTCCCGCAAGGCAGTAACCTAGGACCGCTACTATTTTCGATCTTTTTAAACGATGTCGCCTTGCTGATACCATTAGGATGCCGCGTTTTCTATGCAGACGATACGAAAATCTACAAAATTATTAAAAGCCTCTCGGACTGCTGGGATCTCCAGAATATGTTAGGTATTTTTGCTGACTGGTGCTCAAGAAATTTGATGAGTCTAAGCATAGAAAAATGTAACATTATTTCATATCACCGAAAAATTGAACCAATCATGTTTGACTATGTTCTCTACGGACGCTGTCTTGCTCGTGTAGAGCACATAAAGGATCTCGGAGTTACCTTGGACTGCAGACTCACTCACAGAATCCACTACACTGACATCATCTCCAGAGCTAATCGACAATTGGGCTTTATTTTCCAAATTGCCGACGAGTTTCGTGACCCGCTATGTCTCAGGTCACTTTACTGCTCGCTTGTGCGATCCTTATTGGAGTCAAGTTCAGTTGTTTGGTGCCCTTTCCATGCTAGCTGGATCACTAGAATTGAATCCGTTCAACGCAAGTTTGTGAGATATGCTCTTCGTTTCCTCAACTGGCGTGACCCAACGAACTTGCCACCGTACGAGGAGCGTTGCCGTCTCCTGGGAATCGAGCCATTAGAGGTGAGACGGACGGTCGCTCAAGCTATGTTCGCTTGAAAGCTGCTTGCAGGTGACATTGACTGCCCAACACTGCTGTCACAGCTAAATATGTATGCCCCTGAGAGGTCTCTTCGTCAACGCGACTTTCTGTTTTTGGAACCAGCGATGATGATATAAGCAATGTTTCATTCAAATCGGAAGGGGCAAATTGGCATTTTTTTAGCGTTTTGGGCTGGAAATGCTCTATACCTATTACATGTCCGAACGTCTTTCCTACTGGGACTTTACGCCGGCTCTCAAATTTGTGTTCTTTGACCACTTCTACAGTTGTTAATTGAGAGCTTTAAGCATGGTCTTGCTTAATAACTGCGCCTTTACCGACTGAGCTAAGGAAGGCCCAACATGGCCGGTCACACAACTTCTGAAATCGATCACTACCCCCGCTCCCCCCTCAAATGCTACGTCATTTATGCATGTTCCCTTACTGCAATCTTCCAATTGAAAACCTTTCGTTCGATTTTCAATAGTTTTTATGGAAAAAAAAAACTACGAATTTCCTCCTATTAGCAACACTGTCCAGTGTAGTCAGTTCTACGGGTTTATCTGTAGATCTACGGATTTTAAGATTTACTACGGATCTACGGACCGACCATAAAATTTTACCATATTTAAGTGATTTTTGAAAAGCGCCGAATGACGAATTTTGAAAAATGGTCATTAAATTCAGCAATAATTAACGCAGTGGAAACAAATTTACGAATTGAACTCTATGAAAAGTTAACAACACTGTAGCTGCTTCGCCCGTATTAGTAAAAGGGAAGGCAGCAGACGGACACAAAGCAGAAATACGTACGCCCGAATAAGCAAAGCTAATTCAAAATGTAAATTATCTTCAAAGTGATACGCATTCAAACCTGATTAGCGTATTGAAATGTACTTGTGCTCTCTGCGCCCATCATCATGGCATGTGAGTGTGAGATTCCACCACCTTTATGCGTTTTGAAAACCGTAAACAAGAACATCAAGCTTAGCCTTATCTGCTAGTAAATAAACCATCACCAATCACTCGAATTACAGGCATATGGTCTGCTCTTGGTGCTCTAGTTACTTTTCGAAGGATTCCACAGACTACGTAGCAAGTTGGAAGTTCAACCTAGTGAACTGCAATAGCTGTTATAATGGTTCAATCGAATGCTTCCTGAGTCACTCCAATTAAGGAGCAAGAGTGTAAACAAACACTTGGAGTGTCAAGGTCACCCACTCGCTATCGTATAGGTTCATTTCCTTCCAGGGCGACGGACTAGCTATTTATTATCGCAAACACGCATCGAAAACGTAAATCCCAAAAACTTTCTGACTCATCCAAAACTAAAAACCACTCACCTCCGCAAACTTGCCATCGGTAAAGTATTTGAGCAGTGACGACTTGCCCACGGTACTGTCCCCGATAAGAATATGTCGGAATTGGTAGTCGAAGATTGGTTCAACCATATTTTCTCCGGATACTGCTGCTGTTGCTGTTGCTGTTCTACCTTCGCTACTCCCTTATCTACGAAACTCGAATTTCTGTTGAACCGAAGAATTTCTCTTACGGGACCGGACCCAACTCGAACAGCGGTTGATCCGCTTATCAGCCACAAAGCACTGTCGGGCGGTATACAAAGATCTTGTTTTCGTTTTTTCTTGCCCGTCGGGTGTTATCTTGAGCTCACGGAATTGCTCTTTTTTATCACTGCACTAAGATATGAACATCACAGTTTAATATCGAGTAAGGATAATTATTATGTAAACACACACGTCTTCTAACTACGCGACAGTTTTTCGTTCTCCGAGAAGGATGCGAGAATACGAAAAATATTTTTTTTCCGTTCGCAGTGCGATCGAAAAAGAAAACTTGGCTACGGATGGCTCTTTGCTGAAAAACACTTTTGATTTTTATGGCAGCGTTTTGACAGGTATGTGCGACGGGAAAATGCCCAGGGCTGTCGGACGAGTATTGGTATAAAATTTAGTTGTTGGTATTGTTGGTATAAAATGTATGTACTATAAAAATACTTCATATAAAAAAAATCGATTACGAGGGGTGCACTCTGAAATGTATTACAAACACTTAGTAATGATAACTAATGACCAAAAATTTAAATATTTAAAAATTTACGTCATGCAGTGAAACTTTTCCTAGCTTTCGCCACCTACATTTCGATGTGAGAACTACTACACAGAGGATAGTTTCCAGTTGCGTGAGAGAACGTGTTTGCAGTTATTAATTCGAAATGGATCGGTGATATTTTCATGGAAAATTATGCATAACAAATTTGCACTCGCAGGGAGAGGTTGCCTTCTGCGCAGGTGCAGTTTTCGGAAAATGGTTAATATGTGCAAATTACACTAAGATGAAAGTGTAAATTAAGTGAATTTACTTAGGAAAGATTGTATCATTCTGGTGATAATGGAGACATTATTGTATGGGACGCCAATATTCAATAATTTACCTTTTTTTCTGCATCATCTGAAAGAACATTGATTTCTGAGCACCACGATATTTATTTCGATCCCATTGACATTCATCTTAATTTGAAAATCAAGATTTAAATTTTTAAATGTTGACAGTCAATATATTCGTTGACAGCTTGCTCCCATACAAAGTCCCATAGAGGGACGCTAAGATGGTGAATTTTCCTCATGTAATCGCACTTATTTAAAATAGTTACAGTGCACCAAAATTGATAAAAAAAAATTTGTTTATGAATATGCATTTACCCTCGCATTTACCTCAATAGGCTCTTTCCACAAAGATGAATACTAAGATGAAACTGTCGGAAGAAAACCTTTATATGTTAGTGTCCTCTTTCATGGTCCCTTTCATCCAATGAATACCCCACGCATTCAAGGTAATTTTGTGGCTTTGCTGCCCCCTCGGTAGATATGAAATTTTGCGCTTATTTTTGTCAAAACAATCACACCAAAATCAGAGATGTCCCATTTTTTAATTACTCGATTAAAAACTAATCGATTATTTTTTGTTCGCTGTGCTGCCATTTTTCCACCAATGAGAGTGCAGCACATGTTTGAAACGATCGGTGATGATCATCTGGAGATGTTAATGCTTATATCGGCTTGATATAACCGATTACAAAAATTTTACTTTTCGGTTCGTTAATCGATTAACCAATTACTCGAATGAAAATCGGCCATCACTAGATGAATGTGAAACTTCATTTCAAATATAAGGACCATACATAAATAATGATACATTTTGAAAGGGGCCGGGGCTAATCACAAATTACGTCCCCACGGTAACTGAAATAAACACGAGTGTTCACCGATTGCTAAATCTATTCGTTGACAGCTCGCTCCTATACAAAGTCCCACCAAGGGGTGGTGAAGTGGTGATTTTTGCTAATGTAATCGAACTTATTTAAAATAGTTCCAGCAACAATCAATACGAAACTAACGATTTTAAATTGGGTTCTTTAATTTTGAAACATGTATCGTTGTTTATACACCATCTGAAAGAGCTTCGTTTTCTGAGCACAGCGATATTTTTTTCGACCCACACACTTTCATCTCGATTTTTAAATCAAAATTTAAAGCAACATAATAACTTCACTGTTTGACACTAAACTAACAAACTGACAGCTCGTTCCCATACAAAGTGACACCGAAGGGCGCTAATAAGGTGATTTTTGTAAATGTAATCGTACTTATTTAAAATAGTTCCAGTGTACCTAAATTGATGAAATTTTGGGTTTGGGTTCCATTTTTAATGCAGATTACGAATATGCATTTACCTCAATACCCTTGAAGAACCCAATTGGCTCACTACTTGACTAGCCTATTGGTCCCAAACAAACGATTAACGTACCCCATCCTAGTCGAAATTCTAGTCCTTCACAATGTTTGTTTTGTTTCGCTATGAAAGTTTGACAGATAAAATGAGGGGTTAGTGGATTTTCCTATGTTTCGAGGAGTGAATCGATTAGCTTGGGACCGAAGATAGTACCAGAGCTGAACCAAAAAGTTGAGCACGTTATTTCGGGACCTTCTAGTCTTAGAGTTAACTCTATGGTTCCAGTCTCGGTTCCAGTGCACCAAAATTGATGAAATTGTAGGAATGTAAAACGTCATTTGAAATATAAGGACCGTACATAAATGATGATACAATTTTAAAGGGGCCAGGGCTAATCACAAATTATGTCCCCATGGTAACTGAAATAAACACGAGTGTTCACCGGTTGCTTTCCATGCACCATCAATGCAGAGTGCGCTAGCCAATTTTTAAAGAAAATGTCATCCAATCCATTTGTTTACATCATAATGACGATTTTCAAAACTCAAAAAAAATGTACATTTTATTGCACAACTTGCAAATCTCCATCGGGAGTGGTCGTATTTTTCGATGATCTACAGATCTGAACTGATTTCCAGCTGAAATAACCACACATTAAAAATCCGGAAGATCATAACCGCTGGGACAATTTTATAAATCTTAATTTTTCTCATCAAAAATATATGGAAGCACCAGCCAGATGACTGCAAACCCACTATTAATCGCCAGAGGCTGAAATGATCACTTGGTTTCTTTTGAATTCGCCTATACCTTTAAGCAACCCAATTATTTTATTCATTCTATGCGCACGAGTATTGATGGTCCCAAAGTGAGGATAACATTTTTTTTTTGGCTGAAACCAAAGCGAGGATAACAAATTTCGCACTTGAAAATGGGAAAATGGGAAAATCATGTGAAATTTTACATGGAAATTCGCCAATAAAAATGTGTGGAATTCTATTAGTGTATGAGGCTATACGCTGACCGCGCTGACATCACGGATGAATGCGATGAACTCTCGTTCATCGAATTGACAGCCAGCAATGATTTGTTTACCTTTGCCTGTCAGTCGATTCAAGTTGGTTCAAGTTTTAAAATCAAAATACTAAACGATGTGTTGTCCAATGACGTCCGACGATGTTCTTTCTAAAAACCTTCCTCTCAAAAACATGCAAGGCTGCGAGACAACCACCACGACTCGCCACGACTAATGTTTAAGAAAAATTTCCCGTTGACAATTGACAAATCCAAGTTTCAATCGACCACCGTGACGCTGCGATCGTAGCGGTGATAAGTCCGAAATAATGTGTCAAACTAAATACATTTTTGAAATTTCATCCAAAAAACTATTATTTTCTATTTATTCTAGCGAGTTTCTGTGGAAGTCAAAACATGATCCGAGCAAAAAAGTAGTATTCGTAATAATGGTACATAATGCTGAATTTTATCGTGCTTTGTTTCGAAAATATCTTCCAAATAAACAAACATCATCCAAATCACCCCATTCGCCAACCGACTAAATCTATTGCCACTTGTAATTAATTTTAGTTGGTGTATTAATCAGCAGATTAAATCGTTTTTCGTTTGATGATACACCGAGCAATCGACCTATTTAATAGTTTTTCGTCGATGGATTTAGTCGGCCGACTTCGTCTTCTGTTTAATCGGCAGATGATTTCAAACCTTAACATGTTTTCTGTAATTTATAAGTCTTATAGTAGCTTTTTATTTAGGGACAATGCATTACAAAATAGTTTTATGCATTTTGTACAAGATTAATTCATTCTAAATAGAAATTTGCATGAAATTACATTGAAATTAATCAATTTTGAAAAAATCTATGAAATTATCAAGGGCTGTCACAAACTTATCACCGTCGGTTAGTGCTTATTCCTGCCACCTGGCGCGCAGGAGTTTAAGTTGGATTTCTCAATAAGCAACCATATTATTTCTTCTACGGATATTTTAGAATGCTAGAGCTTCTACCACCGACAAACTGACATGAAACTTAAACTTAACTCTTGATCGAGAATCCATAACGGCCGATTCAAATGTACAGCGATCCCATCTGTCAAACCCATACAAATGTTTTATCTAGATAAAAATAAATTGTCCGAAATAGATTAGACATGAACCAACTCATAAATTTTGTACGCATGTTCGTGGCTAGGATAAATATGTTCCGCGAACACGGTGGCAGATGTCAGTTTTGTACTTTGATCAGAAATTTCTTTGTTATTTGTATGATCATTCATGTCGGTTTGTCGGTGCTTCTACTGCAGATCCAGCAACCCATTTCGGACTGCCAGGTAATTCATGTCCATTCCGAGGTCACTTCCAAGGGGTGAGCGAGGAGGTGAGACAGCTTTACTCTGAGCTGCTTTTTACAGCGACTAACTCGCGAGTATCTCAATATACCTCAAAATTCAATCGACGTTTCGATTTTTTTTTCTCCTCTATTTACTCCGTTAACTTCCTTTGAGAATATGCATATTAGACGTCAGTTTTGTTGGCAAACAGAGAAAAATTGTTCTGTGCTTTTTGTTCGTATTCCTCTGGAAATTATCGTAAACAAATGTTTAAGCTTGCAACATCAGAAATGAAATACTTGGCTAAGCCATTCACAACTAATCATATCAAGGAGGGTAATTTCAAAATGTCAGCAATGCAAATGATAAGTTTTGTCC